AAAAAAAAAATAAATTCAAATCCATAAGTTAATAAAGCTTTTATTCTTAATATTGCAACAAAACTTACAACTGCTTACAATTATTCTATCCGATGTCTATTCCGTTTTAATTGTTATCTTAAACGAAAACACGCAAAGTATCCTTATAAACGACCTCGATATATTAATGATATCTTATAAAAATTAATTGATTGTGCGGATTGTTAACTGCTACGAAAATGATTGTATTTGGAACTTGTTGCAATCACTTTAAGAGAGATAATAACGAAGTGGTACACGGAGCAGTTCGTGTTTACCTACTCGAGTCATATTTTGCAAATGATAGATACTACACGATACGTGAGATAAGCTTGTGTACATGTTCCGCACCGCAAGTAACGAACGCCAAGTACCTTGTGTTAACAAATTCATCACCACGACATTTAATATAAAATCAATGTACACCAAATATTTCTACTATTAATTAATGTTAGAATTTTCGTTAACGTTAGGATCACTTTAATCATTCGATACAACGATTTGCATATTCCACATTTTCAATCTGAATTTAACAGATTACGTTCAAATTGATCAAAAATTTAGAGAGAGTTCGTTCAATAAATCATTATTATGTTATAGGCTAAATATCACAAGAAAAATAAACAAGATTTCAAGTAATTCTTTAGTAAATCGAGTTACCATAGAAATGTCTAATCTTTTATATAATAAAGTTGAAGTATCAAAATTGTGTTGATGTGTGCACATATCTACAACAGGTTAATAAAATAAGAGAAAAAAAATATTGAAAATGTAACATTTCACGTATAATTTAGTGACAGATAAATACAGACATATCGCAGATGCTTCTTTGACTAATTGCACACAAATCTGGTGCAAATTATGAGGGACAATTTTGGCAGATTAGGCGGGACATTCTCAAATTTTAACACTTTGACCCGCTTTACAATGCATTTCAAATTTTTTCCTAAATTAATGTTATAATAATGAATTGTTCCTCTTTTAACCTTTTAGATACTGTACGTCATTATAGTGGCTTTCGCGAATGCTACCTCTCTGAACGATTATATTATTTTTTTATAACTCTTTACATAAAAATATATATGAAAATTATAATTTATTCGTCAAAACCCACATTCCGTATTGCTCCGTCATTAAGGCCCAGTTCCACAACTCACGGTTAACTCTTAACGAGGTTCAACTTATTCATTGTCTCTTTCCAATTCTCGAATTGGAAAGAGATGAGAAACAAATTGAACTTCGCGGTTAACCGTGAGTTGTGGAACTGGGTCTAAATCGAGCTGCTACGTCATTTTACGCATGCGCCCAAAGTTTCCTAGAGGAGACGAATTCTTGCCAGCTTCCATCACTGCGGAAGAATTC